TGGAAGTATATGGTGATCACAGTTCTCAATAGAATCTGCTGAATGAATATTCTAAAAAAAAAAAAAAGTAGGTCAAGTTTTGACCAAGATATTGTTAAATTAAGAAAGTCAATGAAATGCTCATTTTAAAATGAAGTTTAGGGGCACCTGGGTGGCTTAGTTGGTTAAGCGTCCTACTTCGGCTCAGGTCATGATGTTACCGCTCATGGGTTCAAGCCCCACATCAATCTCACCACTGCTGTCAGCACAGAACCCGCTTCAGATCTTCTGTCCCCCTCTCTCTCTTCCCCTTCCTCACTTGTGCTCTATCTCTCAAAAATAGATAAATCTTTAAAAAAAAATCTTTAAACTGAGGTTTAAAGAAGAGAATGAGAAGTTTTTATAAAGTTAAGGTGAAAAACAAGAGTTTTCCAGGGATGATGCTGGGAGGAAAAAAAAAACCCTGAAAAATATATTATGTAGGAGCTCCTGGTCCTCTTGGAGCTAAAAGTTATGTCAGATCCATACCATTTTTACATACCGTTAAATTTCCTGGCTTTTTTCTCTAGTTTTGAATCTCCGATTTGGGTTTCAGATACATACCCAGGAAGAGAATACATCTGTTTCAAATAGAGGTTTGGTATGAACGTTTTCATCTTTTTCAATTATTCGAATGAGTCTTTCCTCTTCTCTGGATGTTGAAGGTTTCTAGGGCACAGAAACACGAAGGTCCCTTTAGTGAGCTGGTATGGGACACAGTGACAGGGCAAGTTGCCTGGAGGAATGTCTGAAGCTTTAATTTTCCATTTGCTCTAGTCACTCAACGAGCATTTTGAAGACTTTAGAGCAAACACTGTGTGAGAAATTAGTGGGGACGGGGAAGCGGAGACCAGGGGAGAAAATGTGAGAAAAACAAAAAGGATTTCTTCCAGACCCCAAGAATTCATAGCACAGTGGGGGAGATGGCCCAGAAAATAATTATGGTATGCCAGATTACTGTTAGCAAAGAGGTGGGTTCCAAAAGCTGTGTGCATCCAGAAAAGAGCCCTGAACTCTGCCTAGACACTCAGGTAAGTTTTGAGAGAGAAAGTGATACCTGAAGGTTGAACAAAGTTTGTACCGTAGAGAGGAAAGAGCCAGGACTAAGGCCTCAGAGGTGGAGAGGAGGGAATGCATGATACAGTTAAAAGGTATGACATTATTTAGTGGCCACATAACACTGTTTTCCATTTATTTTGTGTCTTCCATATGCCAAGGACTGTAGCAGAAATAAAACAGAAAATGCTGGTCCAAAGAAGCTTGGGTGTTGTTATCATATTTTTGTAGTGCTGTCCAGCATATACAGTGAGTAGAGGACCTAGGTCACAGCCTGGAGTCATACCAACATTTAAACTATTCACAGAGAAGAAACATCAGGGAAGTAAGTTAAGACAGTACAGAGAATGTTAGGTGATCACGAGTTCTAAGAGCCAAAGACAATAGTCAATCCAGGAATCAGCAAAGGGCTCTTGCCAGACTAATCTGGGTTTGAATGTTGGTTCTGCCACTTACAGCTATCTGACTTAGGGTAGTCAGTCAACCTGAGTTTCAATTTTCTTATCTGTAAAACGGGACAATAATTTTTACCTTGAAGTTGTACTGTGTAGATAAGAGGTAACATGTACAGAACATGTAGCTCACAGTAGGCACTCAATTAGTGGCGGTTATCGTTGCATTTTCATCATTATTATAAGTGCCCCAGGAAGGGTTGTTATTACTACTAATGCCTCAGCAGGGGTGGGGACAGGGTAAGAAGAAGGAAGGTGTGGGCCTGGGAAGAGGGGAAAGGCAGCCCAGAACAGGAGCTGAAGAAGTGGACACATAGAGTTTACATTACTGTTTGAAAAATCTGGCAATGAAAGGATAAAGAAACAGCATCAGAGTGAAAGGCAGATAGTGTAGGAAATAGGAGGACAGGTGTGAATGAGGCTGATGGGAAGCAGGTGGATTTTGAAAAGGAAAAGGACATTCCTTCCGTGGAAAACAAAGAGCTAAGGGTGTCTGCGGGTATGGCTAAATCTACAAGAAGAAAGGACGCAACTTGATTTATGCCAGATGATCTATTTCTATTTTCACTAGTACCTCTAAACATATTCTTTAAAAACACAAAGGGAAAGAAATAATACTAAACATCTTACCTCTTCTTTCTCTTCTTCCTTTTCCTTCTCAAGTTTCTTATCCTCCATACTTTCTCCTTCATCTTCTCTAAAAAGCCTGTCTGTTTCAGGCTCAATTAATTCCTTTACAAAATCCTGTGAGATAAAACAATAGAATAATGATAGCTTAGTGTATATTAATAATTGAGTAGTATATACCAATTATTCATTCAAAAGTATTTAATGCGTACTAATCTTCCAACTGGATACTGTGCTGGGCATAAGGACAAAAAAGTGAATAAGAATGGCCTCTGTCCTTAAGAAGCTTACAATTTAGTGGACAAGAAAATGCTATGGATACATATAGTCACATGGTAGGAACACCTAATCCAGATCTGGTAGCGGATAGGGGTGAGAGGGTTGGTCAGGAAGGTTTCCTGGAGGACATAATGTCTGAGTTTCTTCTGGAAGGATGAGTAAGGGAAAAAGATAGTTAGCATGGAGTATTCTAGGCAGAGGATGCTACATGGGCATGATTGGCTCTTGAGGACAAAGTAGTTCAGTAGGACAGAAATTTAGGGGTAGATGGACAGGAGCACAATCATAGAGGAAGGGCTCCAGTGGCTTTTCAGGGAAACAATTTTATCCTGAAGGCAATGAGGTATTGATAAATTGGCTGATATGTTTTAATTTTAAAACAATCACTCTAGCAACATGAGAGTAGATATAAAGAGAAAGAGGCGAGAGAGAGAGAGAGAGAGAGAGAGAGAGAGGAGTGAGGGAGGGAGGGAGAAAGAGAAAGAAGGAGAAAAGGTGAGAGTAGAGAATGAACAACACAGAGTTTCAGAAATGAAGAGGAGGGTAAGGATTCAAGAGGTTATTTAGGAGTTAACTCTTACTGCTTGAGTAATTCGATGGATATGGAATGGTTAGGGAATGGAAGCATCTTGAATGATACCTGATGTATGGTGTAGGCCACTACATAGATGATAATACCGTTCACAGAGATAATGAACAAAGTTGCATAAGCAGGTATGGGAAGACAGATGAGTTCAGACTCAGCTATGTGACTTTGAGTTACCACTAAGATATCCAACTGGAAATATTCAGTAGGTTGTTAAATATACGGATCTAGAGTTTAGATGGAGGCATTTGGGCTAAAGATAATCATTTAACAATTATTTAATTGAATTTAGTTGAAGCCAAGAAGGTAAATTACATCACCAAAGGAGACCTTGTGAAGTGTTAGGGGACGAGGCCTTAGGACAGGAACCTAGTCACATAAAGGGCTAGGGAAGAAAGACGAGCCCCCAGAGAAGGCCAGAAGTCATGTCAGAAGTCTGAGAGGTCCACCAGGAAAGCCAAAAGAGGAGAAAGAAGGAGTCAACAGTGTTGAATACCTAAAAGAAGTCTACACAATGATCAACTGAAAAATGTCCTTCAGATGTTCACAGCAACGATGTGTAAAAAACAGAAGCTAGACATTTCTGTCTTATTTCACTTAGCATTATACCCTCTAGATCCATCTGTGTTGTTGCAAATGGCAACATCTCATTCTTTTTTACGGCCGAGTAATATTCGTGTGTGTGTGTGTGTGTGTGTGTGTGTGTGTGTGTGTATCCACACGTGCATACGTGAGTGTGTATTACCACATCATCTTTATCCATTCACTTATCAACGGACACCTGGGCTGCTTCCATAGGTTGTCTATAATAAATAATGCTGCAATAAACATAGGGGTGCATATATCTTTTTGAGTTAGTGTTTTCATATTCTTTGCTTAAATACCCAGTAGTAGGATTACTTGATCACATGTAGTCTGATTTTTAATTTTTTGAGGAACCTCCATATTGTTTTCCACAATGGCTGCGCCAGTTTGTATTCCTACCAACAGTACATAAGGGTTCCTTTTTCTCCACATCCTCACCAACACTTCTTGTTTCTTGTGTGTTTGATTTTAGCCATTCGGACAAGTGTGAAGTGATATCTCATTGTGGTTTTGGTTTGCATTTCCCTGATGATGAGTGATGTTGAGCATCTTTTCAAGTATCTGTTGGCCATCTGAACGTCTTCTTTGGAGCATAGTCCGTTCATGTCTTCTGCCCATTTGTTAATCGGATTATTTGGTTCTTTGGTATTGAGTCATAGAGGTTCTTTATATATTTCAGATACTAACCCTTTATCAGAGCTGACATTTGCAAATATCTTTGCCCACTCGGTATGTCTCTTTTAGTTTTGTTAATTATTCCCTTTTTTCTTCTTTTTTTATAGAGAGAGAGCAGGTGAGCAGTGGAAGGGGCAGAGCAGGAGATGGAGAGAATCCTCAGCAGGCTCCAGGCTCACTGTGAAGCCGAATGCAGGACTCAGTTCCACAACCCCAGGATTCATGACCTGAGCCAAAATGAAGAGTTGGACGCTCAACCGACTACGGCACCCAGGGGCCCTGCTGCACAGAAGCTTTTTATTTTGAAGTAGTTCCAATAGTTTATTTTTGTTTTTGTTTCCCTTGCCTTAGGAGATGTATCCAGGAAAACGTTGCTATGGCCGATGCTGGAGAAATTATCTTATGTGCTCTCTGCTAGGAGTTTTATGGTTTCAGGTCTCACCTTAGGTCTTTAATCCATTGTGAATTTATTTTTGTGTATGGTGCAAGAAAGTGGTCCAATTTCATTCTTTTGCATGTTGCTGTCCAGTTTGTAATTAACATTCTTATACAGGTATATCATATATTAGAATTATCAAATAGACTACAAAGTTATATTAACCTGTCTAAAGAAATAAAAGATTGAAAATATGAATAAAGAGACAAAGATTACAAAAATGATCAGACTCGAAAAAGAACCAAATAGAACTTTAACAATTAAATTTAAAAACTGAACAGAGCTCTTTCTCGACTCCATCTTCATGGTCGCGGCTGCGGTGGCCGTTGTCCAGTGGCCGACATGCAGCTTTTTGTCCACGCCCAGGAGCTACACACCCTCGAGGTGATCTGTCAGGAGACGGTCGCCCAGATCAAGGTTCATGTAGCCTCTCTGGAAGGCGTCACTCCAGAAGATCAAGTCGTGCTCCTGGCAGGCACGCCCCTAGAGGATGAGGCTACCCTCGGTCAGTGTGGAGAAGAGGCTCTGACCACCCTGGAAGTAGCTTGCCGCAGGCTTGAAGGTAAAGTCCATGGTTCCCTGACCTGTGCTGGGAAAGTAAGAGGGCAGACTCCTAAGGTGGCCAAACGAAGGAGAAGAAGAAGGAGACTCCTAAGGTGGCCAAACGAAGGAGAAGGAGGAGGAGGAGGAGGAGGAGGAGGAGGAGGAGGAGGAGGAGAAGGAGGAGGAGGAGGAGAAGGAGGAGGAGGAGAAGGAGAAGGAGAAGGAGAAGGAGAAGGAGAAGGAGAAGGAGAAGGAGAAGAAGACAGGCCAAGCCAAGTGGTGGATACTATACAACTGGCACTTTGTCAACGTTGTGCCCACCTTTGGAAAGAAGAAGGGCCCCAATGCCAAGTCTTACATCTGACGTAATCCTGGCTTTCCCCAATAAAGCCACTTAGTCCAGTCAAAAAAATAGAAAATAAAATAAAATAAAAACTGAACACAAAGGTTTAATAGAAGATTAGTGAACAGGAAGGTAAACCAGATGAAATTATTCAAGATGTAGTGCAGACACAGAGAGATAGAAAATACGAAATAAGGTTCAAAGACATGTGCATAGGTTCTAATACATATCCATTCAGCCAGAAAGAAAGGAGAGAGCAAATATAGTAGAGACAATATTTGAAGAGACAAAAACAGAATTTTCCACATCTAATTCAAGATACCAACTCAAAGATTCAGGAAACCAAGAGAATTAACAGCAAAATTTAAAAAGAAAAGGAACTCCACATTCACAACGTATCAGAGTGAAACTGCAAAATGCCAAAGATAAAAAGATCTTCAAAGCAGCCAGAGAGAAGAGAGGGTTAACTTCAAAGAAACTGACAGCTGAATTCTCAACTGTCACTTTGGTAACAATAAAATCCAGAAAACGGTAGAAACAGTGTCATCAATGGGCTAAGAGAAAATAATACCATCCTAGAATTGTATGCCCACCAAAAAAAATTTTAAGAATGTGAGTGAAATAAAGACATTTTTAGACAAACAAAAATTAAGTTTGCCTCCAGTAAATCCTCACTAAAGAAAAATGTAAAGGTCAAGGCAGAAAGAAAATTATCTCAGGCAGAAGATCTGGGATGTATGAAGGAACAATAAAGAAATTAAAGGGGCGCCTGGGTGGCACAGTCAGCTGGGTATCCGATTCGGCTCAGATCATGGTCTTGTGGTCCGTGAGTTCAAGCCCCGTGTTGGGCTCTGTGCTGACAACTCAGAGCCTGGAGCCTGCTTCAGATTCCATGCCTCCCTCTTTCTTTCTGCCCCTTCCCTGCTTGTACTCTCTCTATCCAAAAAAAAAAAAATTTTTTTTTAATTTTTTTAAAAAGAAGAGGATGCTTACTATTGCTACCACTATTTAACACCTAATTGGAAGAATTACCCATTGAAATAAGACAAGAAAAAGCGATTAGAGCCATAATAATTGAAAGAAAGAGGTCAAATTATCTCTATTTGTAGATGATTTGATTAAGTATCTGGAGAACCCAAAAGAATCTATTGAAAACTACTGAAAACAATAAGATAATTCAATAAAGTCACAGAATATAAAATTAAAATACATATATCAGTAACATACACACAGTTCTCAATTATAAGATACAATGGAAAAGAAGATCCCATTTAAAATAGCAGTAAGGGGCGCCTGGGTGGCGCAGTCGGTTAAGCGTCCGACTTCAGCCAGGTCACGATCTCGCGGTCCGTGAGTTCGAGCCCCGCGTCGGGCTCTGGGCTGATGGCTCGGAGCCTGGAGCCTGTTTCCGATTCTGTGTCTCCCTCTCTCTCTGCCCCTCCCCCGTTCATGCTCTGTCTCTCTCTGTCCCAAAAATAAAATAAAAAAACATTGAAAAAAAAATTAAAAAAAAAAAGAGTCTGTTTAAAAAAAAAAATAAATAAAAATAAAAAAAAATAAAATAAAATAGCAGTAAAATAAAATAGTCAGACATAAACCTCACAAGAAATGCACAAAATGAGTAAACCATAAAACATCATTAAAAAGCATTAAAAGTAGACATCCTGTATCCCCCATTTTTGGATACGACAACCCAACAACATAAGTATCTCTGCTCTAAGTTTAATATATAAATTTAGAATGATCCCAGTTTTCAAAATTCCTATTTTTTCTAGAGGTAGATGATAGAGTTCTATGGAAGAATAAGTAAGCAAAAATGGTGAAACCCTGAAGCCCATGAAAAAGATCGGTGAGGAGAGCTGACCCTACCAGATATGAAAATGCACCATAACGCCTCAAAAATTAAAATATTGTGGTGATGACCCATGAACAGATAAATAGAAAATAAATTCCAGAAACAGACTTAGGTTGAATATCGCTCTTTTCAAATGTTAGAAAACACTACAACATGGAATATTAGAACCAGTACAATGTGGAAGAGAAATCCACCTTGTTCACATCAACCCAAAAGGCTGAACAGGGCCAGTGAGCAGAAAAAGTTACAAGGAAATGTATTTCATCTAGTTCAATAGAAAGAATAACATTCTACTAGTGAGTGCTCACCAAAACAAATGGCTAATTCTGAAAGTAGGTCTCTGCCGCTGCAGATGCTCAAACATAGGCATAGATCAAGGATGGGTGGTAATGCAAAGTTTCACACATCTGATGTTAGGCTGAATTCAATCACCTTTAAAATCCTTTCTGTTCCCTATGATTGTGCAGAGCTCTTGAATTTAATTTTTTCATAGATCTGTTGCGTAGCCAAGATCACGTCTGTGTTACTTAATTTTCTGAAATCATTCAGTGGCTAATTCAAAATAATTCTGGCCAAGATCTGGGCAGCAAAGAAAAATAAGCATTTGTAAAAGGTGTATAATTTAGAAAGGTGGTGTTTCTTTGGTGTTTCAATATAAAACGCAAGTCCCACAGGGCGCCTGGGTGGCTCCATCCGTTGAGTGTCTGACTTCGGCTCAGGTTATGATCTCAAAGTTCGTGAGTTGGAGCCCCGCACTGGGCTCTCCACTGTCAGCACAGAGTCTGCTTCAGATCCTCTGTACTCCCCTCTCGCTGCCCCTCCAGCACTTGCCTACATGCTCTCTCTCTCTCTCTCTCTCTCTCAAAAATAAATAAACTTAGGGGCGCCTGGGTGGCTCAGTCAGTTAAGCGTCCAACTTTGGCTCAGGTCATGATCTCTCACTCTGTGAGTTTGAGCCCCGCATCGGGCTCTGTGCTGACAGCTCAGAGCCTGGAACCTGTTTCAGATTCTGTGTCTCCCTCTCTCTCTCTCACCCTCCTCTGTTCATGCTCTGTCTCTCTCTGTCTCAAAAATAAATTAAAAAAACATTAAAAATTTTTGAAAAAACTGTCTAAAAAATAAAATAAAATAAAATAAAAAAATAAATAAACTTAAAAAAAATTTTTAAGACACAAAAGAGAGAGGTCAATGGGCTGGGTTAGGTGCTCAAGAGAAGAAATAACCTTAAATGGAAGACAGAGCCTGAAGGGGATGAGGAAGTGTGCACGCAAAAGCAGACCAGTCTGAGGACCTGCCTCAGGATGTGACAGGCAGCTCCCCTCTGAAAGCCATCCTTCCTTTTATGAAGGATAAAGCAAAATCATCCACTAAGAAAGTGAGGAGAGATACTTAGGTGGATGATTTTCTCCCTTAGAAGGGAGAAGAACTACTAATGCTCTTGGTCAGGGACCAAATTCTCTTCTGGTAAATAAGTGAGGACTCAGAACACTGATAGGAAAAAGTCACTGAAACCTTATCTATTGCAATACAGGACGAGGCTGAATAATGATCAATGCCAACACATGGCAAATACCTCTTCTCCAAACAGGTACTCCTTTTCTTCCGGTGTCAGTAACTTTATTATTCTGCCTTTAAGCCCAGAAAGGAGGTGAGAACATGTGGTGATCCACTCATGACATTCTCTCTGAGAAGAGATCAAAGATAATTACTAAGCAGAAAAAATCAGACTGTAACAACTCATTTATTCACTCCTTCTATCGAGGAGCTGTTAAGTACAACTCTAAATACAACTCATTTCAATTAACTTTTTATCACTTCAGTTCAAAGATTTGTGCAGAAATGAGTCTCTATGAACACAGACCTGAAATCATACCATCTCTTATCAACAGGATTTTGGGATCTGGGTTGTAATGGGGCAAGGAGCTGTGCTGTGCCATAAAACCAGATGCAGAAAGGCTGCTGCATTTACTACAGGCAAATGGTCTGTCCCAACAAATGTTTCGCAGCTGACCAGGTCAACTGTGATTGCATAGCAATAACAATAGAAATAGCCCACATTTAATTGGCTTTAATTATAGGCCAGACTCTGTTCTAAGCATGTGCAATATTAATTCATTCAGTATGTAATATGTGCTACTATTTTTTATGAGGTATAATTGAAATAACATTACACTGGGAACAAACTGATGGTTACCAGAGTGGAAGTGGGTGGGGGGATGGGTGAAATAAGCGATGAGGATTAAGGAGGGCACTTGTGATGCAGGGAATTGTTGAATCACTATATTGTATACTTGAAACTAATATAATACTGTAATGTTAACTGCAATTTAATTAAAAACGTAATTAATTTAAAAAATTAAAATTTTAAAAAATGGATTAACCCCAAAACAAATGCACACACAAAAAATAACATTATATTCGTTTCAGGTGAACAACCTGATGAGTCAATATTTGCGTATATTGCAACATGATCACCACAATAAGCCTAGTTAATATCTGTCACCATACATAGTTACAAATTTTTTTCTTGTGAGGAGAACAGAAATATGTACCATTATTCTTCTCATTTTTTTGATGTAGAAACTGAAGGACAGAGCAATTGATCATCTTGCTCAAGGTCATATATATAGTTAAGCAAAGCACTTGGATTTTAATCCAGGCGGCTTGATCAATCTTGAAAAAGAAGAACAAATTTGAAGGATACACACTACTGGATTTCAAAACTTCTTCTATGACCATAGTAATCAAGACCGCTTGATAATGGTGACAATGTCAACAAACAGATCAAGAGAACACAACAGAATGTCTAGAACAATATCCACTATGGATGACAGACCACGGTGAGTATTGGTGAGGAAGTGGCCAGGGGGAACATTCATATACTGCTGGCGGGAGTGTAAAATGGTTTAACCACATTGGAGGATAATTTGACAGTTCTTAAAACGTTCAACACATACATACCATGTGACTTAGACATTCCATTCCTAGATATCTGCTCAAGAGAAATGAAAGAGATGCATATATACATGAATATGCATTAAAGCTTTGTAATAACCCAAATTGGCATTCAAATGCCCATCAACAGAGAATGGATAAATTGTGTATATCCATATAATGAAATACTACTCAGCACTAAAAAGCATGCAATTTTAATAAGAGCAACAATATGTGTGATTCTCAAAATAATTATGCCAAGTAACGAAGTCAGATCAAAAAAGTACACATTCTGAATGAGTCTATTTATATATTCTAGACAATAAAAATAATCTTTGGTGTTAGAAAATGGATCAGACCTTGCATGGGGGCAGGATGACACTGGAAGGAGAGATTACAAAGGGGTATACGGAAACTTTGAATGTGTTAGATATTTTCCTTTTTTTAAAATAATAATCATTTTATGGGTGTATCCATAATTTAGAAATTACCAGACTGTACACCTTAAATACGTGTAGTTTGTTGTAATACAAGTCAACCTAAGAAGTCTGCTAAAACAAACAAACAAAACAAAAGGGGAAGATAGTGTTACCTTCATCTCATTCAGTTCATAAAGATCCTTAGTAGGATTTTTTTCTAAGTGACCTGCTTTATTCAGAGCCATAACTGTTACCATCCCTTTGCAACAACTGGAAAAAATAAAATAAAATAAATAAAAGCACACATACACACACACACACACACACACACACACACACACACACACAGCATGACCTATTTATTATTGGTTCCTCTTCTAAGTGTTTTAAATTCAGATACCATGGAAGTTTACCATAATAATTAAACTATTGACTCACGAAGGAAAATAATCTGTCTCAAGTTTCTCACCCTTGTCCTGTTCCTCCTCTTCATTCTTCTCACTCTTGACCATGGGTAACATTGAATGAAAATAAAAGCTACTTCCTGAATTGGAAGCAATTGTACTAACATATGCTTCCTAGTTAAAAAATTACAATTTTTCAGAATTTATCTGTATTTGATAAGAATCTTCTAGCTTTTCAGATATAGGGGTTTTTTCATTTGGGTTTTCTTTTTTTAAGAGACGTTTCAGTTGGTGTTTGGTGAAACTAAATAGATTTAGTGAATATAAGTGTACGTTCAGTTTTGCATGGGAGTACATAGGGAATTACAAGCTTCTTCAAAAATCCCCCCCCCACCCCCGCAGTGTGTGCAAACATGCAAGATGTATCTTATTAATGCAAACAAGCGGGCCTTTTTGGTTTGATTTGGTTTTCTTTTTACTAATTCTCCCGTATAAGTATACACTTCCCAACTTGCCTATGGTAACACTGTGTTCAAAAGAATTCTAAAGCCAATGGGAAAACACTAAAATCACATATTTCAACCGGGCAGTGTTGAAGCTGGTTTAAAAACTGAACTACTATTTCTTTCAAGGTTTGAAAACAATCCCTGATTGCTGCTACCTCACTGCCCTTATCACCTCTGCTTTATGTCACATTTAATCTTCAAAAGGACAATAATAAAATAATCAGATAGTTTCACCTGTTCAAATAGCTGGAGTATTGCGACAACTTTCTGGCCAGTGCGATTGCGTCCAGCTCTAACTTTGCAACTCTTACATCATGTTTCTCAGCACTTTCCTTTTCCAACTTTGGGAGAGTGTCTTGGTCAGTAAAGTCAGGCACCATTAAAATCAGCAAGCTTACCATCCACTGGATCATAGATATATGCAACTCATCCATCTGTTAAAACATGATTATAACATAAATGACTTATTTTAAATAAATCAAACAGTAAAAACCATACCAAATTTAAAAATAGGAAGCATACCTGTGTCTAACTTGCAACAACACTACCATTTTTTTTTTTTGAGGGGGGTAGGGACAGAGGGAGAGGAACAGAGAGAGAATCCGAAATAGCCTCCACACCCAGCACAGAGACCAAAACAGGGCGCTCGATCTCATGACCTTGAGATCATGACCTGAGGGGAAACCAAGAGTTTCCCGGAAGTTCAAATGACTGAGTCACCCAGGTGCTCCAACAACACTATCATTCTTTTTTTTTTTTTTTAACATAATTTATTGTCAAATTGGCTAACATACAGTATGTAAAGTGTGCTCTTGGTTTTGGGGGTAGATTCCCATGGTTCACCACTTACATACAACACCCAGTGCTCATCCCAACAACTGCCTTCCTCAATGCCCATCACCCATTCTCCCCGACTCCCCCATCCACCCTCAGTTTGTTCTCTGTATTTAAGAGTCTCTTACGGTTTGCCTCCCTCTCTCTGTGTTTGTAACTATTTTTTTCCCCTTCCTTCCCCCATGGTGGTCTGTTAAGTTTCTCAAGATCCACATATGAACACTACCATTCTTAATGAAATCAAATCATCACTACTCAGCTAGAATAACCTTGTTTTCTTTCGCTCATTATACTACATTAAACTACCCTCTTCCTCTTTAGTTTGGTCAAGGGTATTAACCCATTAAAGCTGCAGTTCCCCAATTGTGCACTAAGACATTGCAGAGCTCTGAAGTAAATTCTCAAGGAT